TTCTCCTGGCACTCCTTGGTATGTTCAATACTCTTCTCCAGCACCACAACACAAAGTCATCAATTTTTCTTCGATCATCCTTAGTCATTGTCCAGTTTTCTGATGCATAGCAATAATTGTGATGACCATGGCCTGGATCAGGTGCACCTGAGGACTGACATTATTACTCTTCAGCATTTTGGAGAGGTCCCTGGCAGCAGATTTTTCCAATGTAATTCCTCTTTTGATTTCCTGACTGCTGGTGCCAAGACTGTTGATTGTGGAGCTAAGCAAGCTAAAAATTCTTAACAACCTTAATCTCTATCCATCGTGGTGCTGCCAAATGGTCCACTGGTGAGAATCTCTGTCTTCTTAACGCTGAGCTTCAATCCATATTGAAGACTACAGTCCTTGATCTTCTGCAGCAAAAGCTTCAGGTCCTAAAAATCCCCCAGCTCCCTCTCCTGCTCTGGCAAGCAAGGTTGTATCATCTACATAGCACAGGTTGTTGATGAGTCTTCCTCCAATCCTGATGCCACACTCCTCCTCCTAAGTGGGTCCTTAAGAGGATACAAACTGCATGGGTGGTGATTGTCCATCTTTCTTCCTTGGAGAAGCTGGTGGATTCAAACCACATGCCTTTGGGTTGGCAGCTCAACTTTTTGGATTGAAGACGCTGGGCTGTACAAAGAGGAATGTGGCATCAGGATTGGTGGAAGAGTCATCAACAACCTGCGTTATGCATATGACACAACCCTGCTTGCTGAGGAGGACCTGAAGCGCTTGCTGCAGAAGGTCAAGGACTGAAGTCTCCTATATGGATTGAAGCTCAACATCAAGAAAACAAAGATTCTCACCACTGGGCCAATTGGCAGCATCAGTATGGATGGTGAAGAGATTGAGATAGTTAACAGTTTTAGTTTGCTTGGCTCCACAATCAACACTCTTTGTAACAGCAGCCAGGAAAGCAGCACTGGGAAAGTCGGCTGTGAGGGACCTCTCAAGAGTACTGAAGAGCAACGACGTCAGGCTGGAGACTAAGGTGTGCCTGATCCGGGATATAATCTTCGCAGTTACGTGCTATGCATCAGAGAGTTGGACAGTGAATAGGGATGATAGAAAGAGAATTGATGCCTTTGAGCTGTGGTGCTGGAGAAGTGTTGAATATACCATGGACTGTTAGGAGAACAAACAGGTTTGTCCTGGAGCAGGTGAAGTCAGAATGCTCCTTGGAGTCAAGGATTTTTAAGCTTCGTCTAACATACTTTGGGCATGTTGCAAAGAGGGACTTGTCCTTGGAGAGGGATATCATGTTTGGCAGGGTAGAGGGGCGGCGAAGGAGAGGAAGACCTTCAATGAGATGGATCAATTCTGTGACTGGAGCAGTGGGAGTAAGTGCGTTTGAGGTGGCTAGGTTGGCACAGGATAGAACAGCGTTTAGAGCTCTTGTACATAGGGTTGCTATGAGTTGCAAACGACTCGATGGCACATAACAACAACAAGCAACCCAATAGGCCACCAGAAGTCAGGACTAGAGAAGTGACTGGCTAGATCAGGATTAGCTTGAGATGATCCACAGACTTCCTGAATTATAAGCAAACTTGTATGTTCACATGGGCCTAGGCACTTTTCTCAGAGAAGGGCCAAAGATATTTTTCATTCTCAGAGGGATCAGTCATCCCCAAAGTTTATGAACTATTTAGAACTGAGTGTAGGGAAGGGACCCAGTTACGGTCATCGGTGAGACGGAGGGATTTCTCCTGTCCTGACTGGCACGAGTTTAGAACATGCTGCCCTAGATGCCTGCATGATCAGCTGTACCCCAGGACAAATGACAGTGTCTCCCCATTTCCAGAATGTAGCTCAATTCTGGGACCCAATAACATCTTGGATTTCTTGAAATAATCCAAAATCCAGCAGCTCCAGGCTCTGCTAAACTGGTCTTCACTCTCTGGGGATATATACAGAAGAATTTTATCTTAGGAAACTGGAGTGGCCTTTTTCTAGGGCCCAGTTCTTAAAAGATCCTCTTAAAGGGCAGAGAGTTTGTAGCTAAGGGAAAGGTTTGCAAGAGAGGAGTGGGGAGGAGAATTGAAAGACTAATGACTGGAGAGAGCCTGGAGAAGAGGTAGCAGTGCAGAGGGCATGGAGCTATTAAAAATCAGGCGTGGGGTCTGACCTGGACCCCTGGGACCTCAACTGAGAGGTTTCCTTCTGGATCTTAACCCTCCACTAGACAAAAAGCATATTCTTCCATGGAGGTTCTGACCAATTTACAACATGGAAACTGTTTCCTGCCTATAGGAGACTGAAGCTGACTTTCAAACACACATTTGAAACTGGTTTTGCCATCAGAGGAGTAGGGTCGCCTCTCGCAGTAAGTTCAGGAGTTTCACCTTTGGACTTATATACAGTCCAAGGCACTTTCTCTCCACCACCTCGATTCTACAAAGAAGAGTAAAGTTTCCTTTCTTTCCAGCTGTTATTAAAGCAGGAGAGGGAGCTGGGGGATTTTCCACCCCCACTTTCTCTAAGATCATTCAATCCTTAGGGACTGCTTGAAAAAGAGGGAACATGGGTAAGAGCGGCCCTTTCTAAAAAGAGGCGATTAGCGTCTGTTCTCCTGCTCAGAAAACCTATTTTTCAGATCTATTTCCCCGTGATGGCAGGATACTCTGAGGGAGGTTGGGATGGAGGACAAGCAATCTTTACCAAGATTCCTTTCTTCTCATCCATTCAGGGAATTAAGTCCACCATCTCCTCCAGGTCTCCAGCTGAGAATCCAGGGAGAAATGCACCCAAAACATAGAGCAGATACACAGGGACTCAAGAGGTCGGGGAGGCTCCACCCAAACCTTCAACAAGACATCAGCACTCCTCAGTCCCAGCCTCTGGAAAAGCCCACCCTGGTCCTTAATTCCAGGGGAGGACTCAATTCGTAATTTAGTTCTTGCCTGTAGCCCTCATAGAGGTTCCTTCAGGATCTTGCAACAAATGGAGGACTGAGCAGGGACACCTCCCCCTCCACACTTGGAAAGTTGAGAGCATCTCATGTTGACACTTCACATCTATCATTTGATAAAGAGCTAGGCTCAGCTTAAAACAGTGACGACTAGCACAAGTTATTTGGGAGAGATCCAATAAATGTGTATTTACACATACATCTGTACACATATATTTATAGATTTTAGGTGCAGGGCTCTCCAGGAATCCCCAAGCTTCATACAATTCCAAACAAAGCCCCACATACAAGTTCAATTACCACCAAACAGTTCCAGGTTCCCTCCCCCAATGTAAACTAACACAAACACTTTGAAGCTAGGGTTCTGACTTTTTCCCTCTTTGCAAAAGACAACCAACAAAGCGTGGTAAGGCACCACTTTCCCAATAATCATCTTCTTGTTAAAAAGGTGAGACTCTGGGTTGGGACCTCAATAGACCAACCTCCATCAAGTAGGCAAAGAGGAGAGCAAAAGGGGAGGTGCGGTCTGGTTAAACTAATAAAATGTTACAACCCTGTTACATACAATTAAAGGGCTAGATCTCAAGAAGATAATTAAATGCACTTTATTATTATGATTATTACCTTTTAATTTGCACTATTATGAATCAGGAGATGGTGAAAATGTGAGTTGTGTGGCATACTTATTCCACCACCCCCTCCCCCCCAGTTTCCAAATCTACCCTTTAGAATTAAAGTCGGAAAGTCTTCCAAGTAGTTGAGGGAAATGATGTGTGCTGGAAACTGGAATTCTCATACCAGCATCAAAGATACTTTATACATTATTTTTCAGGCTGTTAACTTTAAGAAAAGTCTTGACTTTTATTTGTGGGGGGAGGAAGATAAGAAACATCTGTTATAAACATTCTATCAATCTTGTGATATAGAATGTCATGTAAACACTCAACCCCACCCCCATCTTCACAAAGAGCAGGCCCAAAATCTTCCTTCAAAGCAAAGACCCACCTTCCCCCCCAACCCTGGAAAAGTTTGAAAAGAAACCAGTCTTTTGTCAAAGGAAAACTAAAGTCCCACCAGCCCCATCACTCCCTCCCTGCAACCCAACCCGCTTTTTATTGCTTTTTGAAATGAATAAACCCCGAACAAAACCCCAAACCCACATATAACACACAAAAACCAAGTCGCAAACTGCTAACCTGAACTGCCCAAAGAGGAGACTAGGACTGAGAGAAGCTGAGGGCAGGGACAGAAGGGATGATATGGGAAGAGATTTCAAGACCCCAGCATTTGGGAACAAGTTAATGATCTCCTAAAAATGCAGTCAGGATTGGTACAGAAGGTGGTGTGTGTGGGTGGATGGGTAGCTGTTTTCATTTCAAAACACACCTCACAATGTGCTTTTTGCCCACTCCAAGCGCTAGGAGAGAGTTGAAAAGTCAGGCGAAAGATCTGCCTGCCCGCAGGGGAGTGGGCCAACGGGTGGAGGCCATTTCTCCCTCATCTCCGCCCTTCCTCTACCACCATTCCTGTTTTAAAAAAATTTTTCTCTCCCCCTCCTCTTTCCACGTCTTCATCTCCCTTGAAAAGTTTCCAAAGCTCAGTGAAGGAGACAGGGCAAGTGAGGGATGAGAATAAAGGAGAAAAGGACAGAAATAAAGAAGATTCCAAATCGTATTTCAAAATATTCAACTTATACAAGGCCCAGCGTCAGTGAGGAGGCTCGCAAACCTGGCTTTTATAGAAGCCGAAATGCAACAAACTCCCAACTCGCCAAGCCAACAAAAACAACGCGCAGGCTAGGTGCCTCTTCCAGCAGGCCCAGCCCTGCCAAATCACCAAAAAATTCGGAACTCAAGTGATAAGGGGATGGGGTTTTAAAAGGGCAGTTAAAGAGGAGGAGAATCCCCTCAACTCTCCCCACCCCTCCCACTCCAGTACTTCAGTCCGGGCGCCCATCGCTGCTTTCCCTCCCCCTCCCCTTTTTCCTTTTAAATAGAAAATATATAATTAAATTTACAAAGGCTATTTACAGTTTTAATTACAAACCTGGAAGGGGGTGTTGGGTAGAGTTCTCTTTAAAAAGAGACCTAAAAAACAACAACAACAAAAAAACCCAGATGGTTTCGATTGTTCTTTATTTAAAAAAATAAAATAAGAGTCTGTAGGGGCCAGCTGGGCAGAGGAACGCGCCGTGCGTCCCCCCGACGCGGGGCGCATCGCAGGGCCACCCCCCTCACACGGTGGTCTCGCCGTGCCGGCTGTTGGTGAGGCGGGTGTAGAACTTTCGCCACGAGTGCAGCGTCTTGCCGGACCAGATCCAGAAGCCCGAGGTGATGCCCACGATGAGCGTCATGAGGTATTTGATCATGTAGACGGTGAAGTCGGGCGACATGCGCGGCGTGTAGTGCGCCGGGCACGGGATGGCCAGGCTCTTGCAGTGCTGGCTGACCCACGAGCGCTCCCAGTGCTCGCGGAAGGCCTGCTCGTAGAAGTAGCACGCCAGCACGATGGTGGCAGGCACCGTGTAAAGCACCCAGAAGACGCCGATGCGCACCATGAGCCGCTCCAGCTTCTCCGTCTTGGTGCCGTCGTGCTTCATGATGGTGCGGATGCGGAAGAGCGACACGAAGCCCGCCAGGAGGAAGGACGTGCCGATGAACAGGTACACGAAGAGCGGCGCGAGCACAAAGCCGCGCAGCGGGTCCAGGCTGTTGAGGCCCACGAAGCACACGCCGCTCAGCAGGTCGCCGTCGATCTGGCCCATGGCCAGGATGGTGATGGTCTTGACGGCCGGCACGGCCCACGCGGCCAGGTGGAAGTACTGCGAATTGGCCTCGATGGCTTCGTGGCCCCACTTCATGCCGGCTGCCAGGAACCAGGTGAGCGAGAGGATGACCCACCAGATGGAGCTGGCCATGCTGAAGAAGTACAGCATCATGAAGAGAATGGTGCAGCCCTCCTTCTTGGTGCCCTGCACCACGGTGCGGTAGCCGTCCTCCGAGAAGCGCTCGTTGCACACCACGCGTTCCTGCAGCACGAAGCCTGCGATATAGGCCACGGACACCATGGTGTAGCAACCCGACAGGAAAATGATGGGCCGCTCAGGGTAGCGGAAGCGCTGCATGTCCACCAGGTACGTGGTGACCGTGAAGAAAGTGGAGGCACAGCACAGCACTGACCAGGTGAGGATCCAGAGACGCGCAAAGCGTGTCTCCTCCTGCGAGAAGAACATGGAGCCGTCGGGCCGCGCGGGCTCGCAGGGCGCCGCGCAGTCACGCTCGCCGAGGAACTTATAGCTGAGATAGGACGGCACCTTGAGGACGCGCGGGCAGTGGAACGGATGCTCCAGCGTGGCATAGCGCGGGGGCACGCCGCCGCCCGGGCCGCCTGGGGTGCCGCCCGCGCCCGGCTGCAGGCCCGGCGGCGGCGCGGTGGTGAGCAGCGCGGGGGAGCCGTCCTCGGAGTGGTTCTGGCCCACGCAGATCTGCTCGGCGCCGTGGCGCGGAAAGTGCTCGCAGCGCAGCCGCTCGGGCCACTGGAAGCCGAACTTGTTCATGAGCGCCTCGCAGCCCTGGCGCGCGCGCTCGCAGATGGAGCGGCACGGCGGGATGGCCTGCTCCAGCACGGTGCACACCGGCGCGTACATGGAACACAGGAAGAAGCGCAGTTCTGGCGAGCACTGCACTTTCACCAGCGGGTAGAACTGGTGCACCTCCAGGCCCGCGTCCTCCTGGTTCGTGTGGCCCAGAAGGTTGGGCATGATGGTCTGGTTGTACGCGATGTCCGTGCACAGAGGGATGGAGATGGGCTGGCAGAAGCCGTGGTCCGGTATGGAGATGCCCTTTTCCCCGTGGAACTGGGCCGGCCCGGCGGCGGGGAGCAGCAGCAGCGGCAGCAGCAGGC